CAAAAACAAAGTACAAAATGAGCACAAAAAAAAGAATTTATAACTTTGTTGAAATCTTAATTAAGAGGACGAATTACGTGTGATTTTCAAAACAAAAAAGTAAACCTGTCAATTATATTATATATCATATATATAGCCAAGATCCTCTGGCACTTCCAGATACAGATGGACCCAATGGCAATGGCAAACCAACCGGACATTGTGGTGGTGGACAAAAAGCAGAGGAAAGCCATTGTGGTTTACATAGCAATACCAAGTGAATAATCCTAGGAATACCAGGTTTTCTTTTGTACATAAATCTTGCTCTTCTGAGGCTTTGTGAAGATAAATTTGTGTTTTGCATGGTCCAATTTTGTGTCACAAACCTAAAAAAATGTACCAGTTTAATAATTGGGAAGGTATTAGTCTTCATATTTTTAATATATAAAAACGTTTTATTTTCTGAGAATAATATATAATATATATATTTTTTTTTAATGTCTTAATCAGGGTCATTGGGTGGATGGGGCGGTGCCCTAGAATCCTCTATTGGCCGGCCGCCACTGAGATATATATAGATATATATATATATATCTATATATATATATATATATATATATATATAGATATATATATATATATATATATATATATATATATATATACTCTTTTATATATATGATAATTGAGCAGTTGGGGTTGCAGACCCCTGTTCTACAAGCATTGGCTCTCTGACCTGGGAGGACAATGTCTGCCTTAGTGTGTGTCTCTGTTGAGTGCTTGTCTATGTCTGTATAGTTGTAAGGGTGAGATTGTGTAAATGTGACTGGATGGATGTAAAGTTGTTTGTGTTGACTTGTCTTGTTTGATGTTTGCCTCCCCCATCCCACCTACTGAAGATCCTAAACCAAAGTATGAGCAGGGTCTTTCTCCTCAGCCTTTTTTTAATGTAAAACCCCTTTTTTTTATATTATGTAATAACCATAGGCTTTACTTCCGACACACATAGATATCAAATATAGACTGAAGGTATTCCCTTGAATAATACAACCTAAGTCCAGAAATGTTAAAAAAATTAGCTTGTATTGGAATTTGCAGAGACTCACAGATGATAGTATTTCATACAGGTTCTGTGAGACTTCAGCTGAATATTGATTAAAAAAATATATATTTAAAACACTACAGCTGGACAACAGTCCTTGAGTTCGAAGGTCATGTTTTTAACCTGAGACATCTGCAAACTGATGTTATAGCACTATTATTGTTTTTTATTCAATAATTGAATGTAAATAATTTCTTGCGTAATTAGGTTTAAAAATGTCTTACCGTGTCACAAAAATACTTTGTCTCCATTGTAAGATATTAACATTCTCTAGTTTCCCTTCGTTTCAATGTTGATTTAACTTTAACTGTTAAATCAAACAGACATGTAGAAATATAATGTGAAATTGTGGAATATTTAAGGATTATTACACATTAACTAATTTTGGAGAAAAACACTTAAAGTATGGAACAATACACTGTGTACTTTTTTTACTGTATGTTTATATCAGCTGATAAAAATATTAAAAACAGTAAAACTTGTGCAAAAGAATTGAAGTCTTACTTAAACATGATGTGTGATGATCCTGGTCGTCACCTTAAGAGTGTAATTTTTTGAAATTCAAAGAGTTTTTCAGTCTTATTTATAGCTAATATGTAAAAAACAAAACACTTTTTAAATAAACCCACTCTTTAGATTAATTAACCTACTTCTTTTTGTCCTCATGTGGCACCAAAACAAAAATTATGTTAGTGTAAAGCCACTATAGATAGTTTTTCACTGTATAGTAGGGGTGTGCAAAATAATCGTCATGATGATTCATCGTGATTCTAATTTTCGTGATCTACTGCATCGATTCTTGACGCCAAGTATCGATTATTAATTTAAAAAAATTAATAAACCAAATTGCATGAATGGTTGGCGATCATCAGCCAAAAACAAGTGTAATACAACTTCCAGTCCAGCAGATGTCGCTGCGGATGTTTGACGCCCGCTGCCTTGTGTCACAAGCATTTCCGGCCGCGGGATACTGCGCCGAGTCATTCAAAAACAAAACATGGAGGAGAAAATATTGCAATTCATCGCAATAATTCAAGTATCGTGATGCATCGTGATAGAATCGCATCGTGGCCTGTGAATCGTGATTCCAATCGAATCGTGAATTCTTTGGCAATACCCACCCCTACTGTACAGGTGCTGGTCATAAAATTAGAATATCATGAAAAAGTAGATTGATTTCAGTAATTCCATTTAAAAAGTGAAACTTGTATATTATATTCATACATTACATACAAACTCATATATTTCAGATGTTTATTTTGTTTAATTTTGATGATTACAAATGACAACAAATGAAAATCTCAAATTCATCATATCAGAAAATTAGAATATTACTGAAGACCAATAAAAACAAAGGATTTATAGAAATGTTGGCCAACTGAAAAGTATGAACATGAAAAGTATGAGCATGTACAGCACTCAGTATTTAGTTGGGCCTCCTTTGGCCTGTATTACTGCAGCAATGCGGCGTGGCATGGAGTCGATCAGTCTGTGGCACTGCTCAGTTGTTATGATAGCCCAGGTTGCTTTAATAGTGGCTTTTAGCTCTTCTGAATTGTTGGGTCTGGTGTATTGCATCTTCTTCTTCACAATACCCCATAGATTTTCTATGGGGTTAAGGTCAGGAGAGTTTGCTGGCCAATTAAGAACAGGGATACCATGGTCCTTCAACCAGGTACTGGTAGCTTTGGCACTGTGTGCAGGTGTCAAGTCCTGTTGGAAAATGAAATCTGCATCTCCAAAAAGTTGGTCAGCTGCAGGAAGCATGAAGTGCTCTAAAACTTCCTGGTATGTGGCTGCGTTGACCCTGGACCTCAGAAAACACAATGGACCAACACCAGCAGATGACATGGCACCCCAAACCATCACTGACTGTGGAAACTTTACACTGGACTTCAAGCAACGTGGATGAAGTGCCTCTCTTCTTTTCCTCCAGACTCTGGGACCTTGATTTCCAAAGGAAATGCAAAATTTACTTTCATCAGAGAACATGACTTTGGACCACTCACCAGCAGTCCAGTCCTGTTTCTCTTTAGCCCAGGCAAGACGCTTCTGACGCTGTCTGTGGTTCAAGAGTGGCTTGACACAAGGAATGCGACAGCAGAAACCCATGTCTTTCATACGTCTGTGTGTGGTGGTTCTTGAAGCACTCACTCCAGCTGCAGTCCACTCTTTGTGAATCTCCCCCACATTTTTGAATGGGTTTTGTTTCACAATCCTCTCCAGGGTGCGGTTATCTCTCTTGCTTGTACACTTTTTTCGACCACATCTTTTCCTTCCCTTCGCCTCTCTATTAATGTGCTTGGACACTGAGCTCTGTGAACAGCCAGCCTCTTTAGCGATGACCTTTTGTGTCTTGCCCTCCTTGTGCAAGGTGTCGATGGTCGTCTTTTGGACAACTGTCAAGTCAGCAGTCTTCCCCATGATTGTGTAGCCTATAGAACTAGACTGAAAGACCATTTAAAGGCTTTTGCAGGTGGTTTGAGTTAATTAGCTGATTAGAGTGTGGCACCAGGGGCCATCAATTTTGAACCTTTTCACAATATTCTAATTTTCTGATATGATGAATTTGAGATTTTCATTTGTTGTCATTTGTAATCATCAAAATTAAACAAAATAAACATCTGAAATATATGAGTTTGTATGTAATGTATGAATATAATATACAAGTTTCACTTTTTAAATGGAATTACTGAAATCAATCTACTTTTTCATGATATTCTAATTTTATGACCAGCACCTGTATAGTGGCAGAAATTTGTGTGTGACTTCTAAAATAGCAAGACAGTGAAACAAGTTAAAGTGATAGTAAAGTATTGGTTTGACTGCTGATTTCTGTTGTGTCAGCTGTTATTGCAGTATAAAAGTGAACAGGAACACTTTAAATGTATTTAATTCTTTAAGCCAGGTCAATCAAAATAAGGCATATTGGGGGCTACTGATAAGATTAATAATAGAATGGCAGTGATAACATGGGCCAGCACTGATAAAAACAGAATGAGCGTGTTAGCTTTCCACAGGCTGGGCCAGTCATTTAAAAGGCTGATGCTGGCCTTGGATAGGCTTGTGTTAGCATTGGAGTTGCTGGTGAGAAGCATGCCTTGGCTGGTCACTCAGTATAATACATGCATCCTTCTTTAAAAAAAAAAAGAAAAAGAAAGAACATTTAATCAAGAAATATGGTTGGCATACAATCTCTAGAAGCAACTTAAATTTACAGCGTTTCCTTTGACAGAATGTACTGTTATTCAAAATAATGTCAAGCAACAATATGAAACATAACCTGATACATGCAAAGCTTATAATTATTCGGATCAGTAGCTGTCTTTGGAATTGATATGGTATGTATTAGTCTTCATTTTGGCTCCTATAGTGGGTTACTGCCTTTGTGCTGAATAATAATTAGAGTCTGATTGGACAGTGTGAATTATTCTATTTTAAGGGAATCATTAGGATTGATGTGAACCTCTATTAATGCCTAACTAGTTTCTATACTATCATAAATTTAATAGAGCTCTGTGTTTCTTTGTTCAATAAGAAGAGGCCCCCATGACACTGACTCTCTCTCTCCCCAATTCAGGACCTAGAAGCTACACCAACATAGCATCTCCAGACCTCCTGCATTACATCAACTCAGTCTACCATGTATATAGTATATAGCTACATACTATATATTGTATTGCATGTTTTATATTGTATATAGCTATAGATTTTGAATTCTGTATTTATATCTAATTTATCTGCAATATCAACACCAAGTCAAATTCCTTGTACAAACCTTTTTGGCAAAAAACTTGATTCTTATTCTGATGGTGCCTTGACATGGCATTTGCATTGAACTTGCACAAAGCTCCTAAATTTTTTTATATTGTGATTTTTTTTTCAGTTCAGCTTTTTAAGTTTAAAGATACACCACAAATTCAATTGTGTTTTTATTTATTACACAAATGCTAAGGCAACATAAAGGTTTGGAATGGCAAAAATTTTTATCCCATTGTGTTATATACCAACATTACATCTACAGTGCAGTATTACATATGATCAGCAATCTACTATTTACTAATTGCTTTTGGTGATGGGACTTGAGACATTAACTTAGCTTACTCTTACAGCTGGTAAATCAAGTTGAAAAACAAGAATTAACTATATAAATCTGTTTATTTCATTTACTTAGCAGAATGCACACAAAAGCATGGTTCCAAAAAAGATGCACTCCATATAATATGACCAATGGTATACAGATTTCTAACTGTGCTGTAGTTATTTGAAAACTGATTACATCAAAAGGTGACTGTAACATGATAAGTGTCAATACAAAAAGAAAGTGTCAACATGAAATTAAATACAGACCATAACTACCGGTAAGGATGTAAAAAAAAAAAAAAAAAAAAAAGACAGGATTTTTGATACCAGTTTAAGATAAACAAAACAAGTGAACTTTTTTATGTGACAAAAACTTGGAGGAAATATGTCTTTTCTTAAATGAAGAGACAGCAATCAGAAGAAAAATAAGCACTTCAAAGAATATCCAAAAGGATTGTCTTTGCAATTATGCTATATACAATGTTTGTTTTCAGAATGTTGTCGAAATTATATGTTAAAAATACAATTCTGCACTGACTTATAGTGAAGCATAGAAAATAAATCATTGTACACACATTAGAATGGCAACTGAATAAAATTGTGTTTGAATGTAAAAAGAGCATTTTCCTTCAAAACAACTGTGGCGTCTTTTCTTTTCATGAGACCCCTGCATAGCAATATGCAATCTATTCAATAAAAACACTTATTTAAAAGGATAGAAAAAAAATGTAAATTTATGTGTCATGTAATAGATTAATAAATCTGGACTATGTACAAACAATGTTCATTAATAAAAGTATACATTTATCTTATTTACAGTTTGAAAAAAAATTAACAATCTGATGCACTCCTATTAAATTCTCTTTAATATAATCAATCTTTGGTAAACAGAGACAAAAATCTATATTCTAGGATTAAACATTCAAAACTCAAAATTTAAACTGCAATAGAAGATTGTATTTGAGTGCATATAAGAAAGATTAATTGCGTTTACTGTTACTTTTTTGGTGTAACTGATAGCTCAAGTTTTGGAAACCTGAAGCCACCTCTTGATCCACTGTCACTGCTTGAGGATGACGACAATCTGGATTTCTTGAGAGGCACAGAAACATCTGTAGCCCCTTCTATCTGTCCTTCATTGTCGTTTCCAAGTGTCACTTCGTATGAGCCCTTTGACTTTGACCCAAAACCTCCAAACGTGCCAAACTTTAACTTGCCTTTCTTTCCTTTGCCCTTACTGTCTCCTACATCTATCGAAATGTCACCACCCTCAGTTTCTGAAAGAGCGGAAGGAGAACTAACAGCAGCTAGTGAACCTTCATCACTTGCAGAGGAGGATCGATGCTTTGATTTTTTAAATAGATCCAGTGAGGCTGACTTTCCTTTAGTTGATAAACTGACACCAGAATCACCTTCTAGGCCAAATTTTCCACTAATCATTTCACCTGAATGTACTTTAGCAGCACTTCCTTCTTTACCACTTACACCTAAACCTAATTCTGGTTCACAAAGGTCACTTGTACTACTTCCTTTTGCTTTTGATTTGCCAAACAATTTTGGCACCTTCACCTTTGCTTTGACATCGCCATGCTTCTGTTCTGGACTTGGAATGTCAATATTTTCTGAACTAACTTTAAGATTGACTGACTGAGACCCACTATTTTCATCCTGGCCTTCCACCGTAGGAAGAAGAACACCAAATCTTGGCATTTTGATTTTGGGAAAGTGTATTTTACCCTCTGGGTATTGAAGGCCACTGGCTGATTGTCCTGAAACACTTGGACTAAACTGTGGACCACCTCTTATACCTTTTACTTCAACATCAGGACCTTCCAAATAACCTGTTGCACTTTTGGATGATAAATCTGTATCGTCACCTGTTAGCTTTGGAGATTTTATATCTAACTCTACATCAGGAAAATGAAGTTTACCGAAAAGAGGTTTCTTAGCTTTTGTTCCCTTGCCATGAATATGAGTTGTATCAACACTTAGGTCTACCTCTGGTGTTTTTATATCAGCCTCTGGGTTCATATCTTTTCCTTTAACTTTTGGAAGTTTAAACTTTCCCTTTTTACCTTTTACATTAATATTTATGTCAGGGGCATCAAGACTTGCTTCAGAGGATTCAAATTCTGTTCCTTTAATGTCTGCTTCAAGTGTTTTAGTGTTCATGTCAGCTTTAGAAAAGTTTAAATCAACTTCTGGCCCTGATGGCATTTTGATTTTAGGAATTTCAAATGAACCCTTTGGCCCTTCCAAATCAACCTCTGGAGCTTTGATATCAACTCCAGGTTTTGTTAATTTTCCTTTAATTTTTGAACCATCCATATCACTTTCAAGTTTTGGGCCTTTCAGGTTTAAGTCAACTTTAACATCACCCTTTGTTTTAGGCCCTGTCAGATTAATGTTAAAGTCTGGCAAAGTGGGTCCTGATGCTGATTGAAGTTTAAATTTTGGGCTTTTGAGATTTGCCTCAGGACCTTCAACATCCATTTCACCAGCTTCGATATCAACATTAGAGATTTCTTTATCAATGGTAGCATTTGGAACAGCTGTGGTATGATCTGATCTTTCCAGCTGTGGAAGTTTAATACCAAAAGATGGTATTTTGATTTTTGGCATGTCCACTCCACCTGTAGGTTCCTCAACTTCAACCTTTGGACCTTTCATACCAGCTTCAATAGAAAGATCACTTGCACCTTTTATTTTTGGACCTTTGAGGTTTATGTCTACATCTGATGTAGATATTTTTGGTCCAGAAATTGTGGGTGTATTAAATTCGGGTCCTCCTATCTTGCCACCAGAGCTCTCAATGCTTAAATTTCCACCAGATTTTGACAGATCTGTTTCAGGCACTCCAATCTTTGGACTTTTGTTTCCAAATTTTGGAATCTTAAATTTAGACCCTTTAGATTTTGAACCAGTCAAAGTCAGTTCTTGGTCAAGACCCTCAAAGCTACCAGACTTTCCTTTTATGTTGACATTTCCATGTTCCAGTTTAATATCAGTCTCTAAGGTTTTTATCTTTGGACTCTTGAATCCAACCTTTGGCATTTTAAACTTAGATTTTTTGGAGCTGTGTTCCAGGACATCGCATTTGACATCTGGTCCCTTAAGTTCAGCTTTAGGTAATATAACCTCTCCTTTCAGGACACCCTTTGGTTTTGGTCCTTCCAAGTTAATGTCAACACCTGGCATGGAGATTGTTGGTCCAGATAAAGTTGGCTTGTTAAATTTGGGACCTTTCACTTTTACATTCGCTCCTTCAATATCAACATCTGGTGCTTTCACATCAATATCTGCCTTGGGGAGGTCAATATCAACATCAGGTCCTTCTATTTTGGGGCCTTTCATTCCAAGTGATGGCATTTTGAACTTAGGCATTTTGAGTCCACCTTTTGAGCCCTCAATGTCAATGTTTGGACCTTCAATGTCCAGATCTGGTCCCTTTATATCTCCTTTAATCTTTGGCATTTTAATATCCATATCACCTTCAACTTTTGGACCTTTTACATTAAGATCAACATCAGGTACATCAACTTTTGGACCTTTTAGGTTAAGGTCGACATCTGGGAGATCAACCTTTGGACCTTTTAGATTGAAGGATGGCATGTTCATAGAAGGCATTTTAAATCCTCCCTTTGGCCCTTCAATATCAACTTCTGGACCTTTAATGTCAACTTGAGGTGTTTTCATGTCTCCTTTTATCTTAGGAACAGAAACATCCATGTCACCCTTGAGTTTTGGGCCTTTCAAATTGAAATCAACATCTGGCATTGATAGCTTTGGTCCAGATATGTTGGGCATGTTGAATTTGGGTCCTTTCACTTTTAGATCTGCTCCTTCAATATCAACATCTGGTGCTTTCACATCAATATCTGCCTTGGGAAGGTCAAGATCAATATCAGGTCCTTCTATTTTGGGGCCTTTCATACCAAATGATGGCATTTTGAACTTAAGCATTTTGAGTCCACCTTTGTGGCCCTCAATGTCAAAATTTGGACCCTCAATGTCCAGATCTGGTCCCTTAATATCTCCTTTAATCTTTGGCAGTTTGATATCCACATCACCTTCAACTTTTGGACCTTTTACATTAAGATCAACATCTGGTACATCAACTTTTGGACCTTTTAGATTGAAGGATGGCATGTTCATAGAAGGCATTTTAAATCCTCCCTTTGGCCCTTCAATATCAACTTCTGGACCTTTAATGTCAACTTGAGGTGTTTTCATGTCTCCTTTAATCTTAGGAACAGAAACATCCATGTCACCCTTGAGTTTTGGGCCTTTCAAGTTGAAATCAACATCTGGCATGGAGATATTTGGTCCAGATATGCTGGGCATGTTGAATTTGGGTCCTTTCACTTTTAGATCTGCTCCTTCAATATCAACATCTGGTGCTTTCACATCAATATCTGCCTTGGGGAGGTCAATATCAATATCAGGTCCTTCTATTTTGGGGCCTTTCATACCAAATGATGGCATTTTGAACTTAGGCATTTTGAGTCCACCTTTGTGGCCCTCAATGTCAACATTTGGACCTTCAATGTCCAGATCTGGTCCCTTAATATCTCCTTTAATCTTTGGCAGTTTAATATCCAGATCACCTTCAACTTTTGGACCTTTTAGATTGAGATCGACATCTGGTACATCAACTTTTGGACCTTTTAGATTGAAGGATGGCATGTTCATAGAAGGCATTTTAAATCCTCCCTTTGGCCCTTCAACATCAAATTCTGGGCCTTTAATGTCAACTTCAGGTGTTTTCATGTCTCCTTTTATCTTAGGAACAGAAACATCCATGTCACCCTTGAGTTTTGGGCCTTTCAAGTTGAAATCAACATCTGGCATGGATATCTTTGGTCCAGATATGCTGGGCATGTTGAATTTGGGTCCTTTCACTTTTAGATCTGCTCCTTCAATATCAACATCTGGTGCTTTCACATCAATATCTGCCTTGGGGAGGTCAATATCCAGATCAGGTCCTTCTATTTTGGGGCCTTTCATTCCAAATGATGGCATTTTGAACTTAGGCATTTTGAGTCCACCTTTGTGGCCATCAATGTCAATATTTGGACCTTCAATTTCAATATCTGGTCCCTTGATATCTCCTTTAATCTTTGGCAGTTTAATATCCACATCACCTTCAACTTTTGGACCTTTTAGATTTAGGTCAACATCTGGCACATCAACTTTTGGACCTTTTAGGTTAAGGTCAACATCTGGGAGATCAACCTTTGGACCTTTTAGATTGAAGGATGGCATGTTAATAGAAGGCATTTTAAATCCTCCCTTTGGCCCTTCAACATCAACTTCTGGACCTTTAATGTCAACTTCAGGTGTTTTCATGTCTCCTTTTATCTTAGGAACAGAAACATCCATGTCCCCTTTGAGTTTTGGGCCTTTCAAGTTGAAATCAACATCTGGCATGGATATCTTTGGTCCAGATATGCTGGGCATGTTGAATTTGGGTCCTTTCACTTTTAGATCTGCTCCTTCAATATCAACATCTGGTGCTTTCACATCAATATCTGCCTTGGGGAGGTCAATATCCATGTCAGGTCCTTCTATTTTGGGGCCTTTCATTCCAAATGATGGCATTTTGAACTTAGGCATTTTGAGTCCACCTTTGTGGCCCTCAATGTCAACATTTGGACCTTCAATGTCCAGATCTGGTCCCTTAATATCTCCTTTAATCTTTGGCAGTTTAATATCCAGATCACCTTCAACTTTTGGACCTTTTAGATTGAGATCGACATCTGGTACTTCAACTTTTGGACCTTTTAGATTGAAGGATGGCATGTTCATAGAAGGCATTTTAAATCCTCCCTTTGGCCCTTCAACATCAACTTCTGGGCCTTTAATGTCAACTTCAGGTGTTTTCATGTCTCCTTTTATCTTAGGAACAGAAACATCCATGTCACCCTTGAGTTTTGGGCCTTTCAAGTTGAAATCAACATCTGGCATGGATATCTTTGGTCCAGATATGTTGGGCATGTTGAATTTGGGTCCTTTCACTTTTAGATCTGCTCCTTCAATATCAACATCTGGTGCTTTCACATCAATATCTGCCTTGGGGAGGTCAATATCAGGTCCTTCTATTTTGGGGCCTTTCATTCCAAATGATGGCATTTTGAACTTAGGCATTTTGAGTCCACCTTTGTGGCCCTCAATGTTAACATTTGGACCTTCAATGTCCACATCTGGTCCCTTAATATCTCCTTTAATCTTTGGCAGTTTAATATCCAGATCACCTTCAACTTTTGGACCTTTTAGATTTAGATCAACATCTGGTACATCAACTTTTGGACCTTTTAGATTGAAGGATGGCATGTTCATAGAAGGCATTTTAAATCCTCCCTTTGGCCCTTCAACATCAACTTCTGGGCCTTTAATGTCAACTTCAGGTGTTTTCATGTCTCCTTTTATCTTAGGAACAGAAACATCCATGTCACCCTTGAGTTTTGGGCCTTTCAAGTTGAAATCAACATCTGGCATGGATATCTTTGGTCCAGATATGTTGGGCATGTTGAATTTGGGTCCTTTCACTTTTAGATCTGCTCCTTCAATATCAACATCTGGTGCTTTCACAACAATATCTGCCTTGGGGAGGTCAACATCCATGTCAGGTCCTTCTATTTTGGGGCCTTTCATTCCAAATGATGGCATTTTGAACTTAGGCATTTTGAGTCCACCTTTTGAGCCCTCAATATCAATATTTGGACCCTCAATGTCCACATCTGGTCCCTTGATATCTCCTTTAATCTTTGGCAGTTTAAAATCTACGTCACCTTCAACTTTTGGACCTTTTAGATTGAGGTCAACGTCTGGCACATCAACTTTTGGACCTTTTAGGTTAATGTCAACGTCTGGGAGATCAACCTTTGGACATTTTAGATTGAAGGATGGCATGTTAATCGAAGGCATTTTAAATCCTCCCTTTGACCCTTCAATATCAAATTCTGGACCTTTAATGTCAACTTCAGGTGTTTTCATGTCTCCTTTTATCTTAGGAACAGAAACATCCATGTCACCCTTGAGTTTTGGGCTTTTCAAGTTGAAATCAACATCTGGCATGGAAATCTTTGGTCCAGATATGCTGGGCATGTTGAATTTGGGTCCTTTCACTTTTAGATCTGCTCCTTCAATATCAACATCTGGTGCTTTCACATCAATATCTGCCTTGGGGAGGTCAATATCAATATCAGGTCCTTCTATTTTGGGGCCTTTCATTCCAAATGATGGCATTTTGAACTTGGGCATTTTGAGTCCACCTTTGTGGCCTTCAATGTCAACATTTGGACCTTCAATGTCTACATCTGGTCCCTTTATATCTCCTTTAATCTTTGGCACTTTAATATCCACATCACCTTCAACTTTTGGACCTTTTAGATTAAGATCAACATCTGGCACATCAACTTTTGGACCTTTTAGGTTAAGGTCGACATCTGGGAGATCAACCTTTGGACCTTTTAGATTGAAGGATGGCATGTTCATAGAAGGCATTTTAAATCCTCCCTTTGGCCCTTCAATATCAACTTCTGGACCTTTAATGTCAACTTCAGGCGTTTTCATGTCTCCTTTTATCTTAGGAACTGAAACATCCATGTCCCCCTTGAGTTTTGGGCCTTTCAAGTTGAAATCAACATCTGGCATGGATATTTTTGGTCCAGATATGCTGGGCATGTTGAATTTGGGTCCTTTCAGTTTTACATCTGCTCCACTGACATCGACATCTGGTGCTTTCACATCAATATCTGCCTTGGGAAGGTCAAGATCAACATCAACATCTGGACCTTCTACTTTCGGGCCTTTCATTCCAAATGATGGCATTTTGAACTTAGGCATTTTGAATCCACCTTTTGAGCCCTCAATATCAAAATTTGGACCCTCAATGTCCACATCTGGTCCCTTTATATCTCCTTTAATCTTTGGCAGTTTAATATCCACGTCACCTTTGACTTTTGAACCTTTCAGATTAAGGTCAACATCTGGTACATCAACTTTTGGACCTTTTAGGTTAAGGTCAACATCTGGAACATCAACTTTTGGACCTTTTAGATTGAAGGATGGCATGTTCATGGAAGGCATTTTAAATCCTCCCTTTGGCCCTTCAATATCAACTTCTGGACCTTTAATGTCAACTTCAGGTGTTTTCATGTCTCCTTTTATCTTAGGAACAGAAACATCCATGTCCCCCTTGAGTTTTGGGCCTTTCAAGTTGAAATCAACATCTGGCATGGAAATTTTTGGTCCAGATATGCTGGGCATGTTGAATTTGGGTCCTTTCAGTTTTACATCTACTCCGTCTAAGTCAACATCTGGAGTTTTAATATCAATATCTGCCTTTGGGAGATCAATATCTACATCAGGGCCTTCTACTTTTGAGCCTTTCATTCCAAAGGATGGCATTTTGAACTTAGGCATTTTGATTCCCCCTTTGTGGCCCTCAATGTCAATATTTGGACCTTCAATATCCACATCTGGTCCTTTGATATCGCCTTTTATCTTTGGAAGTTTAATATCTACATCACCTTCGACTTTTGGACCTTTTAGATTAAGGTCAACATCTGGCACATCAACCGATGGACCTTTTAGATTGAAGGATGGCATGTTAATAGAAGGCATTTTAAATCCTCCCTTTGGCCCTTCAATATCAATTTCTGGACCTTTAATGTCAACTTCAGGGGTTTTTACGTCTCCTTTTATCTTAGGAACAGAAATGTCCATGTCACCCTTGAGTTTTGGGCCTTTCAAGTTGAAATCAACGTCTGGCATGGAAATCTTTGGTCCAGATATGCTGGGCATGTTGAATTTGGGTCCTTTCATGTTTACATCTGCTCCTTCAATATCCACATCTGGTGTTTTCACATCGATATCTACCTTGGGGAGGTCAATATCAGGTCCTTCTATTTTGGGGCCTTTTACTCCGAATGATGGCATTTTAAATTTAGGCATTTTAAGTCCACCTTTGTGGCCCTCAATGTCAACACTTGGACCTTCAATGTCCACATCTGGTCCTTTTATATCTCCCTCAATGTTTGGCAGTTTTATATCCACATCGCCTTCAACTTTTGGGCCTTTAAGATTAAGGTCAACATCTGGAATATCCACCTTTGGACCTTTGAAATTTACTGATGGCATTTTAAACTTAGGCATTTCAAATCCCCCCTTTTGTCCTTCAATTTTAAGTTCTTGACCTTTAACGTCAACTTCTGGGGATTTTATGTCACCTTCAATTTTTGGAGATGAAATATTGGCATCTGCTTTGAGTTTTGGACCTTTCAAGTTGACATCCATATCTGGTAAAGATACCTTTGGACTTGTAATTTTTGGCATTTTGAATTTTTTTCCTTTTACTTTAGCATTTGATCCCTCAATGGCAATGTCTTTGCCCTTAAGTTCAATATCACCAGGGTTGACATCAACACTTGGTTTAGGGAGGTTTATATCAACATCAGGGCTTTCAGCTTTTGATCCTCTGAATCCAAATGATGGCATCTTAAACTTAGGCATTTTGAACCCACCTTTGTGGCCCTCAATTTCAAGATTGGGACCATCAATATCAACTTCAGGGCCTTTAATATCTCCTTTAATCTTTGGCAATTCAGCATCTCCACCTCCTTCAAGTTTTGAGCCTTTCAGGTTAACATCAATGTCTGGAACATCAACTTTTGGACCTTTGAAATTAACTGAGGGCATTTTGATTTTGGGCATCTCAAAACCTCCCTTTGGCCCTTCAATATCAACATCTGGACCTTTCATATTTCCTTTAATCTTTGGCAGTTTAACATCAATATCTCCTTCTACTTTTGGACCTTTTAGATTAAGGTCAACTTCTGGAACATCAACCTTTGGACCTTTTAGATTTAAGGATGGCATGTTCATAGAAGGCATTTTAAATCCTCCCTTTGGCCCTTCAATATCAACTTCTGGACCTTTAATGTCAACTTCAGGTGTTTTCATGTCTCCTTTTATCTTAGGAACAGAAACATCCATGTCCCCCTTGAGTTTTGGGCCTTTCAAGTTGAAATCAACATCTGGCATGGATATCTTTGGTCCAGATATGCTGGGCATGTTGAATTTGGGTCCTTTCAGTTTTAAATCTGCTCCACTGACATCGACATCTGGTGCTTTCACATCAATATCTGCCTTGGGAAGGTCAAGATCAACATCAACATCTGGACCTTCTACTTTGGGGCCTTTCATCCCAAATGATGGCATTTTGAACTTTGGCATTTTGAATCCACCTTTTGAGCCATCAATATCAATATTTGGACCCTCAATGTCCACATCTGGTCCCTTGATATCTCCTTTAATCTTTGGCAGTTTAATATCCACATCACCTTCAACTTTTGGACCTTTTAGATTAAGGTCAACGTCTGGCACATCAACTTTTGGACCTTTTAGGTTAAGGTCGACATCTGGGAGATCAACCTTCGGACCTTTAAGATTGAAGGATGGCATGTTCATAGAAGGCATTTTAAATCCTCCCTTTGGCCCTTCAATATCAACTTCTGGACCTTTAATGTCAACTTCAGGTGTTTTCATGTCTCCTTTTATCTTAGGAACAGAAACATCCATGTCCCCCTTGAGTTTTGGGCCTTTCAAGTTGGAATCAACATCTGGCATGGATATCTTTGGTCCAGATATGCTGGGCATGTTGAATTTGGGTCCTTTCAGTTTTAAATCTGCTCCACTGACATCGACATCTGGTGCTTTCACATCAATATCTGCCTTGGGAAGGTCAAGATCAACATCAACATCTGGACCTTCTACTTTGGGGCCTTTCATCCCAAATGATGGCATTTTGAACTTTGGCATTTTGAATCCACCTTTTGAGCCATCAATATCAATATTTGGACCGTCAATGTCCACATCTGGTCCCTTGATATCTCCTTTAATCTTTGGCAGTTTAATATCCACATCACCTTCAACTTTTGGACCTTTTAGATTAAGGTCAACGTCTGGCACATCAACTTTTGGACCTTTTAGGTTAAAGTCGACATCTGGGAGATCAACCTTCGGACCTTTAAGATTGAAGGATGGCATGTTCATAGAAGGCATTTTAAATCCTCCCTTTGGCCCTTCAATATCAACTTCTGGACCTTTAATGTCAACTTCAGGTGTTTTCATGTCTCCTTTTATCTTAGGAACAGAAACATCCATGTCCCCCTTGAGTTTTGGGCCTTTCAAGTTGAAATCAACATCTGGCATGGATATCTTTGGTCCAGATATGCTGGGCATGTTGAATTTGGGTCCTTTCAGTTTTAAATCTGCTCCACTGACATCGACATCTGGTGCTTTCACATCAATATCTGCCTTGGGAAGGTCAAGATCAACATCAACATCTGGACCTTCTACTTTGGGGCCTTTCATCCCAAATGATGGCATTTTGAACTTTGGCATTTTGAATCCACCTTTTGAGCCATCAATATCAATATTTGGACCCTCAATGTCCACATCTGGTCCCTTGATATCTCCTTTAATCTTTGGCAGTTTAATATCCACATCACCTTCAACTTTTGGACCTTTTAGATTAAGGTCAACGTCTGGCACATCAACTTTTGGACCTTTTAGGTTAAGGTCGACATCTGGGAGATCAACCTTCGGACCTTTAAGATTGAAGGATGGCATGTTCATAGAAGGCATTTTAAATCCTCCCTTTGGCCCTTCAATATCAACTTCTGGACCTTTAATGTCAACTTCAGGTGTTTTCATGTCTCCTTTTATCTTAGGAACAGAAACATCCATGTCCCCCTTGAGTTTTGGGCCTTTCAAGTTGAAATCAACATCTGGCATGGATATCTTTGGTCCAGATATGCTGGGCATGTTGAATTTGGGTCCTTTCAGTTTTAAATCTGCTCCACTGACATCGACATCTGGTGCTTTCACATCAATATCTGCCTTGGGAAGGTCAAGATCAACATCAACATCTGGACCTTCTACTTTGGGGCCTTTCATTCCAAACGATGGCATTTTGAACTTTGGCATTTTGAGTCCACCCTTTGAGCCCTCAATATCAACATTTGGACCCTCAATGTCCACATCTGGTCCCTTGATATCTCCTTTAATCTTTGGCAGTTTAATATCTACGTCACCTTCAACTTTTGGACCTTTTAGATTGAGGTCAACATCTGGCACATCAACCTTTGGACCTTTTAGGTTAAGGTCGACATCTGGGAGATCAACCTTTGGACCTTTTAGATTGAAGGAAGGCATGTTAATAGAAGGCATTTTAAATCCTCCCTTTGGCCCTTCAATATCAACTTCTGGACCTTTAATGTCAACTTCAGGTGTTTTCATGTCTCCTTTTATCTTAGGAACTGAAACGTCCATGTCCCCCTTGAGTTTTGGGCCTTTCAAGTTGAAATCAACATCTGGCATGGATATCTTTGGTCCAGATATGCTGGGCATGTTGAATTTGGGTCCTTTCAGTTTTAAATCTGCTCCACTGACATCGACATCTGGTGCTTTCACATCAATATCTGCCTTGGGAAGGTCAAGATCAACATCAACATCTGGACCTTCTACTTTGGGGCCTTTCATTCCAAATGATGGCATTTTGAACTTTGGCATTTTGAGTCCACCTTTTGGGCCCTCAATATCAACATTTGGACCCTCAATGTCCACATCTGGTCCCTTGATATCTCCTTTAATCTTTGGCAGTTTAATATCTACGTCACCTTCAACTTTTGGACCTTTTAGATTGAGGTCAACATGTGGCACATCAACTTTTGGACCTTTTAGGTTAAGGTCGACATCTGGGAGATCAACCTTTGGACCTTTTAGATTGAAGGAAGGCATGTTAATAGAAGGCATTTTAAATCCTCCCTTTGGCCCTTCAATATCAACTTCTGGACCTTTAATGTCAACTTCAGGCGTTTTCATGTCTCCTTTTATCTTAGGAACAGAAACATCCATGTCCCCCTTGAGTTTTGGGCCTTTCAAGTTGAAATCGACATCTGGCATGGAAATCTTTGGTCCAGATATGCTGGGCATGTTGAATTTGGGTCCTTTCAGTTTTACATCTGCTCCACTGACGTCGACATCTGGTGCTTTCACATCAATATCTGCCTTGGGAAGGTCAAGATCAACATCAACATCTGGACCTTCTACTTTGGGGCCTTTCATTCCAAATGATGGCATTTTGAACTTAGGCATTTTGAGTCCACCTTTTGAGCCCTCAATATCAATATTTGGACCCTCAATGTCCACATCTGGTCCCTTTATATCTCCTTTAATCTTTGGCAGTTTAATATCCACGTCACCTTCAACTTTTGGACCTTTTAGATTAAGGTCAACATCTGGCACATCAACTTTTGGACCTTTTAGGTTAAGGTCGACATCTGGGAGATCAACCTTTGGACCTTTTAGATTGAAGGATGGCATGTTCATAGAAGGCATTTTAAATCCTCCCTTTGGCCCTTCAATATCAACTTCTGGACCTTTAATGTCAACTTCAGGCGTTTTCATGTCTCCTTTTATCTTAGGAACAGAAACATCCATGTCCCCCTTGAGTTTTGGGCCTTTCAAGTTGAAATCGACATCTGGCATGGAAATCTTTGGTCCAGATATGCTGGGCATGTTGAATTTGGGTCCTTTCAGTTTTACATCTGCTCCACTGACGTCGACATCTGGTGCTTTCACATCAATATCTGCCTTGGGAAGGTCAAGATCAACATCAACATCTGGACCTTCTACTTTTGGGGCCTTTCATTCCAAATGATGGCATTTTGAACTTAGGCATTTTGAGTCCACCTTTTGAGCCCTCAATATCAATATTTGGACCCTCAATGTCCACATCTGGTCCCTTTATATCTCCTTTAATCTTTGGCAGTTTAATATCCACGTCACCTTCAACTTTTGGACCTTTTAGATTAAGGTCAACATCTGGCACATCAACTTTTGGACCTTTTAGGTTAAGGTCGACATCTGGGAGATCAACCTTTGGACCTTTTAGATTGAAGGATGGCATGTTAATGGAAGGCATTTTAAATCCTCCCTTTGACCCTTCAATATCAACTTCTGGACCTTTAATGTCAACTTCAGGTGTTTTCATATCTCCTTTTAACTTAGGAACAGAAACATCCATGTCCCCCCTTGAGTTTTGGGCCTTTCAAGTTGAAATCAACATCTGGCATTGAAATCTTTGGTCCAGATATGCTGGGCATGTTGAATTTGGGTCCTTTCACTTTTAGATCTGCTCCTTCAATATCAACATCTGGTGCTTTCACATCAATATCTGCCTTGGGGAGGTCAATATCAATATCAGGTCCTTCTATTTTGGGGCCTTTCATTCCAAATGATGGCATTTTGAACTTGGGCATTTTGAGTCCACCTTTGTGGCCTTCAATGTCAATATTTGGACCTTCAATGTCTACATCTGGTCCCTTTATATCTCCTTTAATCTTTGGCACTTTAATATCCACATCACCTTCAACTTTTGGACCTTTTACATTGAGATCAACATCTGGCACATCAACTTTTGGACCTTTTAGGTTAAGGTCGACATCTGGGAGATCAACCTTTGGACCTTTTAGATTGAAGGATGGCATGGTCATAGAAGGCATTTTAAATCCTCCCTTTGGCCCTTCAATATCAACTTCTGGACCTTTAATGTCAACTTCAGGTGTTTTCATGTCTCCTTTTATCTTAGGAACAGAAACATCCATGTCCCCCTTGAGTTTTGGGCCTTTCAAGTTGAAATCGACATCTGGCATGGAAATCTTTGGTCCAGATATGCTGGGCATGTTGAATTTGGGTCCTTTCAGTTTTACATCTGCTCCACTGATGTCAACATCTGGTGCTTTCACATCAATATCTGCCTTGGGAAGGTCAAGATCAACATCAACATCTGGACCGTCTACTTTCGTGCCTTTCATTCCAAATGATGGCATTTTGAACTTAGGCATTTTGAGTCCACCTTTGGGGCCCTCAATGTCAATATTTGCACCTTCGATGTCCACATCTGGTCCCTTGATATCTCCTTTCATCTTTGGCAGTTTAACATCCACATCCCCTTCAATTTTCGGACCTTTGAGATTGAGGTCAACATCTGGGACATCAATTTTTGGACCTTTTAGATTGAATGATGGCATGTTCATAGAAGGCATTTTAAATCCTCCCTTTGGTCCTTCAACATCAACTTCTGGGCCTTTAATGTCAACTTCAGGTGTTTTCATGTCTCCTTTTATCTTAGGAACAGAAATATCCATGTCCCCCTTGAGTTTTGGGCCTTTCAAGTTGAAATCAACATCTGGCATGGATATCTTTGGTCCAGATATGCTGGGCATGTTGAGTTTGGGTCCTTTCAGTTTTACATCTGCTCCACTGACATCGACATCTGGTGCTTTCACATCAATATCTGCCTTAGGAAGGTCAAGATCAACATCGACATCTGGACCTTCTACTTTGGGGCCTTTCATTCCAAATGATGGCATTTTGAACTTAGGCATTTTGAGTCCACCTTTTGAGCCCTCAATATCAATATTTGGACCCTCAATGTCCACATCTGGTCCCTTTATATCTCCTTTAATCTTTGGCAGTTTAATATCCACGTCACCTTCAACTTTTGGACCTTTTAGATTAAGGTCAACATCTGGCACATCAACTTTTGGACCTTTTAGGTTAAGGTCGACATCTGGGAGATCAACCTTTGGACCTTTTAGATTGAAGGATGGCATGTTAATGGAAGGCATTTTAAATCCTCCCTTTGACCCTTCAATATCAACTTCTGGACCTTTAATGTCAACTTCAGGTGTTTTCATATCTCCTTTTAACTTAGGAACAGAAACATCCATGTCCCCCTTGAGTTTTGGGCCTTTCAAGTTGAAATCAACATCTGGCATTGAAATCTTTGGTCCAGATATGCTGGGCATGTTGAATTTGGGTCCTTTCACTTTTAGATCTGCTCCTTCAATATCAACATCTGGTGCTTTCACATCAATATCTGCCTTGGGGAGGTCAATATCAATATCAGGTCCTTCTATTTTGGGGCCTTTCATTCCAAATGATGGCATTTTGAACTTGGGCATTTTGAGTCCACCTTTGTGGCCTTCAATGTCAATATTTGGACCTTCAATGTCTACATCTGGTCCCTTTATATCTCCTTTAATCTTTGGCACTTTAATATCCACATCACCTTCAACTTTTGGACCTTTTACATTGAGATCAACATCTGGCACATCAACTTTTGGACCTTTTAGGTTAAGGTCGACATCTGGGAGATCAACCTTTGGACCTTTTAGATTGAAGGATGGCATGTTCATAGAAGGCATTTTAAATCCTCCCTTTGGCCCTTCAATATCAACTTCTGGACCTTTAATGTCAACTTCAGGTGTTTTCATGTCTCCTTTTATCTTAGGAACAGAAACATCCATGTCCCCCTTGCGTTTTGGGCCTTTCAAGTTGAAATCGACATCTGGCATGGAAATCTTTGGTCCAGATATGCTGGGCATGTTGAATTTGGGTCCTTTCAGTTTTACATCTGCTCCACTGATGTCAACATCTGGTGCTTTCACATCAATATCTGCCTTGGGAAGGTCAAGATCAACATCAACATCTGGACCGTCTACTTTCGTGCCTTTCATTCCAAATGATGGCATTTTGAACTTAGGCATTTTGAGTCCACCTTTGGGGCCCTCAATGTCAATATTTGCACCTTCGATGTCCACATCTGGTCCCTTGATATCTCCTTTCATCTTTGGCAGTTTAACATCCACATCCCCTTCAATTTTCGGACCTTTGAGATTGAGGTCAACATCTGGGACATCAATTTTTGGACCTTTTAGATTGAATGATGGCATGTTCATAGAAGGCATTTTAAATCCTCCCTTTGGTCCTTCAACATCAACTTCTGGGCCTTTAATGTCAACTTCAGGTGTTTTCATGTCTCCTTTTATCTTAGGAACAGAAATATCCATGTCCCCCTTGAGTTTTGGGCCTTTCAAGTTGAAATCAACATCTGGCATGGATATCTTTGGTCCAGATATGCTGGGCATGTTGAGTTTGGGTCCTTTCAGTTTTACATCTGCTCCACTGACATCGACATCTGGTGCTTTCACATAAATATCTGCCTTAGGAAGGTCAAGATCAACATCGACATCTGGACCTTCTACTTTGGGGCCTTTCATTCCAAATGATGGCATTTTGAACTTAGGCATTTTGAATCCACCTTTTGAGCCCTCAATGTCAATATTTGGACCCTCAATGTCTACATCTGGTCCCTTGATATCTCCTTTTATCTTTGGCATTTTTATATCTACATCACCTTCCACTTTTGGACCTTTTAGATTGAGGTCGACATCAGGTACATCAACTTTTGGACCTTTTAGGTTGAGGTCGACATCTGGGACATCAACCTTTGGACCTTTTAGATTGAAGGATGGCATGTTCATAGAAGGCATTTTAAATCCTCCCTTTGGCCCTTCAATATCAACTTCTGGACCTTTAATGTCAACTTCAGGTGTTTTCATGTCTCCTTTTATCTTTGGAGTTGAAACATCTACATCACCCTTAAATTTCGGGCCTTTCAAGTTGAAATCGACATCTGGCATGGAAATCTTTGGTCCAGATATGCTGGGCATGTTGAATTTGGGTCCTTTCAGTTTTACATCTGCTCCACTAATGTCAACATCTGGTGCTTTCACATCAATATCTGCCTTGGGATGGTCAATATCAACATCAACATCTGGTCCTTCTACTTTGGGGCCTTTCATTCCAAATGATGGCATTTTGAACTTAGGCATTTTGAGTCCACCTTTTGAGCCCTCAATGTCAATATTTGCACCTTCGATGTCCACATCTGGTCCCTTGATATCTCCTTTCATCTTTGGCAGTTTAACATCCACATCCCCTTCAATTTTCGGACCTTTTAGATTGAGGTCAACATCTGGGACATCAACTTTTGGACCTTTTAGATTGAGGTCAACATCTGGCACATCAACCTTTGGACCTTTTAGATTGAAGGATGGCATGTTCATAGAAGGCATTTTAAATCCTCCCTTTGGCCCTTCAATATCAACTTCTGGACCTTTAATGTCAACTTCAGGTGTTTTCATGTCTCCTTTTATCTGTGGAGTTGAAACATCTACATCACCCTTAAATTTTGGGCCTTTCAAGTTGAAATCGACATCTGGCATGGAAATCTTTGGTCCAGATATGCTGGGCATGTTGAATTTGGGTCCTTTCAGTTTTACATCTGCTCCACTAATGTCAACATCTGGTGCTTTCACATCAATATCTGCCTTGGGATGGTCAATATCAACATCAACATCTGGTCCTTCTACTTTGGGGCCTTTCATTCCAAATGATGGCATTTTGAACTTAGGCATTTTGAGTCCAACTTTTGAGCCCTCAATGTCAATATTTGCACCTTCGATGTCCACATCTGGTCCCTTGATATCTCCTTTCATCTTTGGCAGTTTAACATCCACATCCCCTTCAATTTTCGGACCTTTTAGATTGAGGTCAACATCTGGGACATCAACTTTTGGACCTTTTAGATTGAGGTCAACATCTGGCACATCAACCTTTGGACCTTTTAGATTGAAGGATGGCATGTTCATAGAAGGCATTTTAAATCCTCCCTTTGGCCCTTCAATATCAACTTCTGGACCTTTAATGTCAACTTCAGGTGTTTTCATGTCTCCTTTTATCTTTGGAGTTGAAACATCTACATCACCCTTAAATTTCGGGCCTTTCAAGTTGAAATCGACATCTGGCATGGAAATCTTTGGTCCAGATATGCTGGGCATGTTGAATTTGGGTCCTTTCAGTTTTACATCTGCTCCACTGATGTCAACATCTGGTGCTTTCACATCAATATCTGCCTTGGGATGGTCAATATCAACATCAACATCTGGTCCTTCTACTTTGGATCCTTTCATTCCAAATGACGGCATTTTAAATTTAGGCATTTTTAATCCACCTTTGGGGCCCTCAATATCAATATCTGAACTTTCAATGTCCAGATCTGGTCCCTCAATATCTCCTTTCATCTCTGGTAGCTTAACATCCACATCACCTTCAACTTTAGGGCCTTTGAAATCTAATGATGGCATTTTAATGGAAGGCATTTCAAATCCCCCCTTTGGCCCTTCAATATCAACTTCTGGACCTTTAAAGTCAACTTCAGGTTTTTTAATGTCCGATTTTATCTTTGGAGCTTGAACATCCACATCACCCTTGAATTTTGGGCCTTTTAAGTTGAAATCAACATCAGGCATGGATATCTTTGGTCCAGATATGCTGGGCATGTTGAATTTGGGTCCTTTCACTTTTACATCCTGTCCTTCAATATCTACATCTGGTGCTTTCACATCAATATCTGCCTTGGGAAGCTCAAGATCAATATCAACATCTGGACCTTCTGCTTTGGATCCTTTCATTCCAAATGATGGTATTTTAAATTTAGGCATTTTGAATCCCCCTTTGGGGCCCTCAATATCAATATCTGAACCTTCAATGTCCACATCTGGTCCCTTAATATCTCCTTTTATCTCTGGTAGCTTAATATCCACATCACCTTCAACTTTAGGGCCTTTCAGATTAAGATCAACTTCTGGAACATCAACTTTCGGGCCTTTGAAATCTAACGATGGTACTTTAATAGAAGGCATTTGAAATCCTCCCTTTGGCCCTTCAGTATCAACTCCTGGACCTTTAATGTCAACTTCAGGTTTTTTCATGTCTCCTTTTATCTTTGAAGCTGAGACATCTACATCACCCTTAAATTTTTGACCTTTTAAGTTTAGATCAACATCCGGCATGGATATCTTTGGCCCAGATATGCTGGGCATATTGAATTTGGGTCCTTTCACTTTTACATCCGCTCCTTCAATATCAACATCTGGTGCTTTCACATCAATATCTGTCTTTGGAAGGTCAATATTAACATCTGGACCTTCTACTTTGGGGCCTTTCATTCCAAATGATGGCATTTTAAACTTAGGCATTTTGAGTCCAGCTTTGGGCCCCTCAATATCAAAATCTGGCCCTTCAATGTCCACATCTGGTGCCTTCATATCGCCTTTAAACTTTGGCAGTTTAATATCAACATCCCCTTCAACTTTTGGACCTTTCAGTTTCAGGTCAACATCTGGAGCATCACCCTTTGGACCTTTGAGATCAAAGGATGGCATTTTTATGGAAGGCATTTCAAGTCCTCCCTTTGACCTTTCAATATCAACTTCTGGACCCTTTATTTCAATACCTGGTGTATTAATATCTCCTTTTAACTTTGGAGTTGAAACATCTAAATCACCTTTGAGTTTTGGGCCTTTTAAGTCTAAATCAACATCTGGAATGGATATGTTTGGTCCAGATAGGCTTGGCATGTTAAATTTGGGTCCTTCCAGTTTTGTGTCTGCCCCCTCAATGTCAACATCTGGTGCTTTCATATCAATATCTGCGTTAGGAAGGTCCACATTAACATCTTGACCCTCTACTTTGGCACCTTTGATTCCAAATGATGGCATTTTGAATTTTGGACCCCCTTTCTTGCCTTCTAAGTCAACAGTTGGACCTCCAATGTCTACATCTGGACCCTTTATATCTCCTTCTATGTTTGGCAGTTTAACATCAACACTCTCTTTCTGGCCTGTTAGGTTAAGTTTATCTGTAACACCACCTTTTGGACCTTTTAAGTTTACTGATGGCATTTTTATAGAAGGCATCTCACCCTTTGACCCTTCAGTATCAATTTCTGAACCTTTAATGTCAATTTCTGTTGTTTTAATGTCTACTTTTGTCTTCGGTGTTGAAACATCCATGTTACTTATTATTTTTGTACCTTTCAAGTTGAAATCAACATCTGGCATGGTTATCTTTGCTCCTTTCAGTTTTGCATCATGTCCTCCAAAGTCAACATCTGGTGCTTTTACATTAATACCTGCCTTTTTGAAGTCGATATCAATATCTGGGACATCAGCCTTTGGACCCTTTAAGTTAACTGATGGCATTGTAATTTGGGACATGCTTTTTCCTTCAGTGTCAACTTTTGGACCTTTTATGTCAATTTCTTTTGACACTTCTGTGCTGCCTTGACCAGGGGTTGTGGTGTTTAATGATGATATCTTTACATTAGGCCTTTTAAAACTGACTTCTTCTTTGCCAGACTTTAAATCAGAATTGGCAATTTCTACTTTGGTTCCTAATGTTTTACCAAATATAGTTTGTGTTTTTGACTCATCTATGCTTCCAGCTTCATCTTCTTCAGTTTCTCTGAAGACTTTAGAGCCTTCATGGCCTATTACTCCAAAGTTAGGTCCTTTAAATCTGACATCCTTTGACATTATAATTGTCTTTGACTGATCTCCACTACTACCCCTGTGTGTTTCTGATGAGATACCTTTAGCTCCAGTGTGGGTCACACTGTATGGTTCAAAAACACCCTCTTCTGCCTCCACTTTTGATAAAGGGCTTCCATGCAAGATTCTGACATGTGGAGAGCCATCTCCAGATTCATGTCTTTGTCCTTTGAAGTCTGGGCTTGAAAGTTCTAGTTTCTCACTTACACCACTTGGCATTTCCACTGTGTACGTAGTGATACGTCGAGTGATGGTTGTAATCGTACTGCCATCACTGCTGGTGCTGCTATGCCGCTCTGTACGAACATCCACTCCCTCTGCAAGGTCTTCAGATTTCAGCCTCGGTTTAATTTTTTTTGTGTATATCCTCTTGTAGTCCTCATCCTCTCCACTCTGTATCAGAATACAAATAGGTGTATTATGATATAGAGAACAGGGTCATATTTGATATAGCAATGGTTCAAAGTATCTCTAAATGTTTGGTTAATAAATGATCAGCTGAATAATAAAACTTACCAGAATTACTTCTGGACTGGATCCTCCAAACTGTGTCTTCCCTTCCCATGTAAGAGTTCCCATTGGAGAACGACATGGTGTGTTCAATGGTGAGTAGCAAGGGGATTTATCACCTTTGTTTTGTAGCTTTAGTCCAACTTTGTGTTTGTTCAATGTTTTCAGTAAATCTGCTGTCTCTTCTGAGCTCATATTTTCAAAGTAGATAGTTGCACCAACAATCTGATCACCTACGAATGAGCATGAATGTTTGCTTTAAAAAATCAAGTGTATAACACAATGCCTGGTGAAAGAAACAACTTCACAATTGATGAAAGACGCTACAATAATGTACTACCTTCATATACTTTTCCAGATCGTGCTGCAGGGGACTCTCCTTTCACCTCCTTGACTAAGAGCTCCCCTCCACTTGTGTGTTCAATGGTCAAGCCAGTTTTATCAGGACCCTCCCAATCCTGAAAGAGTACTTCCCTGGTATCATCTTCGTCAGCCATCTGTAAAAGGTGATCAAAACACATGTTTAAGTACAAATACAACTTTAAAATGAATGTTTAGAGACTGCTTTGAAATCATATCAAGTTTGATGTTTGGCATTTTTTTATATTTTCATTCAACTGAAAAATTACAGTATTTACAGAACAATAAAAACTCTGGAAAAGGAAAAGATATTGTTTAGGTTAGCATCACCTTATCAATGTTGTAGTTTTGGGCCTTTTCGTGTCAACTGATTTAGGTATTCTGAGCCTGATTTTTCAGTCTCAAATAAATAGATGTAGATACTATTATGTTACCTTTATTTGTTTTCCTGTAATCCAGCCCTGGTGAGAGAAAAATAGTGATGTTGTTTTCCTAAAGAAAAAAAAAAAAAAAAAAAAAAACGAAAAGAATGAGAAAAAATATATTCAATAATTTATTTCAAGTATTTCTCATTAGAACAAAAAAAAAATGTGATAAAGATAAACTGGTTCAAAAGACCCACATATGAACACTAGGTGGTGTTAAATCTCAATTGACCACACAGCTTCCACTACCTAAAAGAACCATAGTGCCAACTACCTTCTTTTGGAATAATGCTGGGCTATGTTTTGTAAATTTAGGTGGAGTAAGACCACACCTTGCCCTGTGGAAAGCATTCAAATCATATGCCTACACCAAGCTCAATAAATTAAACAATGATGGTCTTCAGCTTTACAGAAACATACACTGCAGAAAGCTGAGCAGAGAACATACATGTTCCCAAATATGTGAATGTAAACTATTTTTTTTGAAAATAAATAATCAGATTGACAAATGGTAGTGGAAATCAAGTAATTGTTCAAATTTATTGTTTATGTAAATTGTTTCTGTCCCTTCATGTGAGTAAAGATTGTCTTCCTTTCCTCCTGTAAAAATCGGGTTAGACTGTTTGTGGAAATTCTGTCTTGAGATCAGATTCATTCATAACAATTTCAAATTCATGTGAGTAAATAAAAGGATATTTAGGAGGGAATATATTATTGGTTTTATTTGATTAAAAAAAGGTAAAATTATACATTTTCTTTAAAGTCTCTCTCTTAGCTCTCTTGGTAGAGTATAATCTAGATCCATGAGACAATAGTGAAACATTTTGAAAGGTGTGTCTTTCATAACATTTGGTATGTAGTAAAGAATATTTCAGCGTCAAAACTTATATTGTATCATGCTACTTCAAGAACTTTAATGAATAGTCATAACTGATCGAAAATGACATGTACTCTCTTGTAAAAAGCCTTGAATGAGATTGTTCAGCCATCAGCTATTAACTTTAAGTCAAGCTCATAGTATATATGGTTTATGCTAGAGGACAATGCTCAGAAGCACTCTAGCAAATCCACCTTTAAATTAAAGGTTTTGAGCTGAACTAGCCAAAAAAAAGACTTATATCTCTGGAGTGCCAGGATTCAAAACAAGTAACTCAGACTGAAAACAGTCTAGATTAATCATAAAGAATTCTGCAAAGATGAGTGTCAAAGTTCTTTCAAATCAATATTAAAAGGTCTGTAACCAGTTATCACAAATTTTGATGAAAGTCATTGACATGAAGGTAAGCACCAGGCCTGGAGGGGTTAATTGGAAGGACCTGGAAAGTTCCAGTTGGGCCGGTCTTATTTTTGGGCCACAAGGGCTCTTGATGGGTTTTTTTTGTATTCTGTGAGTAGATCCCCTGCATGTCTACCACCATCCCTGGGCTACCTCAGCCTACACTGACAGCTTTTTTTCCCCCTGATGCAACATGTCGGTGCACTCAGACGGTCAATGGTGTCTTTAAGTTGGAGGGTAAACGGAGCAAGGATGGCGCAGAAAAAAAATCAACATTAAAGAGAAAAGCTCTGGAAACAGACGCTGCTAAATGTACAAAAATTGACAGTTTTCTACTTGGAACTTTGAAAGACAGAGAGAATGGGTAAGGCAAGTTGTTGAACTTTGCTTGCCAACCACTGAACTCGTTAATCATCAAGTCATTGTATTGTGTGGTGCTGTGGAGAATAATTTAATGTTATATAGTTTAAACATAATGCAATGCTGCATAAATGGGACTTTTGTCTTGTAGCCCCTGAGTCAGTGGTACTATACAGCGGCACCAGTACCAGATTAGTCTAACTAGCTTTTGGGGCACTGTTGAAGGGTAAAGATGCACCTTTACACAAGTGAATTAATAGACTGGCTCTGAGACCCTGCGGACACAGGGATGCATGCAATGCTTTGAGGTAACCTTAAACCTTGTTAACCTCTCTGTTTAAAATAGCCTTTTTCCAATAGCCTGGAATAAGTAGCACACCCATGGACTGAGTTGCACACCCCACCACCAATGAAATGTATGTTAGTTTAGAGTGGCTTAGTGTTTATGATACAGATAAAACTAAATGTGAGTACAACTGCTTAATTCTTCCCTTCTTCAATTTATCTCACTCTGTGTATCCCCACTAAAGTATCAATTTAACTCTTTGTTGTGTCACTATGGAGAAGATAAAAAACAGTGTTATGGTTAACTTTAGCCAGAAAAGTGAAGTATTTTTTTTCTTAGATTAAATGCACTTAAAGCATAAATATACTGCTAAACTAAAAAGTATTAAAAAAACTATTCTGTTCACTTTGTTTTTAACAAACCCAATTAAACGTGTGTACATCCCAAACATCTACATCCAAACTTCACTAGTATAAATATATATTTTTACGCTTAATGCTTATTGCTAAAGAACCTATTAAGAAACTCAAACATTTATTTTTGTATTTTTATCTCGAAATTTCACTCTAAGGACACTCTAAGGACAAACTTTGTCTTGGGTACCCCTCCTTTACTAATCCTTGATATATTTTAGGGCAATTTATGGTTTTTGATTACACAAAATAAGATTTGAAAAATGGTAATCCATAAATGTGATCTAGGATAATCACATGATTTGATAGAGAATTTGCTCCACATTGGGTGAATAAATACGGCTTTGTTCTCGAAATCATAAGACAAGCATGCAGTGGGTGACTCAAACTGTTCAGACAACATGACATTCAAATTTACTTCCCTCATAAGATGTGTTTTTTTATAACTAAGAGCTTTGAAGCAAACCATAAATGATGTGACAATGAAAGCAGGGGGAGTCTGACAAGCTTGTCTGTCATGTTTTATTACGATCTGGTATGTGTGCTGGGAAGAGGGGGTGTGGGGAAGCTAGACAGACTGAAGCTTCTGATAATAAAGCGCAACCACAGAAAATTCTGGGTGTCCATGCCTTCTTGTTTCCCAAAAGAAGTTGTTCATATTTTTATTTTGTTTTTAAGGTTTTGTGTGGAACCCAAGTAAACAGCACAACCTTGGCAGGCTTATGAGCTGTTTTATAAGAAGGCTTTAAGTTGAACAGGTGGTCTCTTGAAGAGGAGCCAAATGTCAGGCAGCAATGTTTTACACAGCTAAACAGAGCAGCCATGACCATTAAGGTTCAAAGGCGGCCTTAAAAAAGACAATGCAAAAGTAGTTTTTCATCCAGTCACATAACAGATTGTTAGAGTGGTGAGATTAACAGTATGTAAGTTAACTTTCTTTGAACAAGTCAATGGTGTTGTGAGACAATCCCTGACATGTTTGAGGACACATACCTTGGACTGCTCAAGCAAATCAAAGGGCTTCAGTCTGCTTCTTGTATTCTTCTTGTTTTTACTTCTGTTAGAAAACAATACAAAACAGAATTGGGGTTAGTGAGGAATTTGTAAACATACTTCTAAATAACCTTAATGAGGTTGAGGCTGCAAAAAAGTCTGTCAATACTCCAGCAGGATAACAAGATGCCTTCTTCAGTTACAGTACATAGGTAAGAAAATTACATTGGTGTTGCATCACGAGATGCCTCAGTTAAAGACACAATTCTTTAAGGTTTTTGTGGATAACTCATATGATGATTAATCACCAAGTAGAGACCTTCATGCTCAAAGAACCAGCAATACCAATACTGGCCCAGCTAACTAAGCATGCAAAAATGCCTTTTGCATAAATCTAAAAACCTGCATCTTGTGGCCCTTTTTTTAGGATGTAGGGAGAAAAGTTGACATCTTTTCCACTAAATGTTATGGTTAAGTTTAATGTTAAACTGAATTTTTTCTGTTTTATTTTTATTGTTGAGTTTGTGACTGAGAAGTAGAAAACCATTGAGGGCCAGTCACGGGATCCCAGCTGGCCTTAAAAATCAATTGTTGCAGCATTCACATTTATCATTCTGATCTTCAGCTTCAGTAGCCAAGTCAGTCTTCCATCTACCTGCCCCAACTAGCCGGATTTCTTAAAGGTCTTATGCGGATTCATCATGTCAACATTGTGACATATTGTGAAACAAAGCCTTCTTTTTGTGAATTAGAGAACAAACAGAACTCAGCTTGCTGCGAGTATAGAAAGGCATCTATCAGTGGGAACATGTCGATATTGTCAAATAACTCCCTAACTCTCTTATTAAAGTTCTTCTGGACAATATCCTATTTTCATTGTAAGCCACTCTGTCCATTACTTAGATTAAAAAAATGCTAAATAGCAGTGTTTTTCAAGAAAAAAACATTCTCTCAATAGTCATGTGCTAAACTTTTTGTGCAATGCACCTTAATACAAATAAAATAAAATGTAACTTAAAAGCCATGATTTGACAAAGAGACTTCTTGTTGCTTATTTATCTATTTTACCAATTAATATCACAAGCTTAATTTTTGGTGTTCCAAATTGCTGATATAGACATATCCGGTACTCAGTACTCAGTTATATTTGTGTTGGGATACACACAGCAGCTGTGTACACTTTCCTGTCCATCCTCCTGTTACAGAAAGGTGTGAATCAGACGGCCTTAGGAAGAGTCATTTGGATACTGTCTGACTAAACCCTTAAAATACATGAGTAACAATCTAATAAATAAAATGGGATGGAAGTAAGCTCAATCATTAATCTCCAAAGAGGTTCCCACAGCATTTTTTAGCCTTGGTTATACCCAAACCATAAGATTTGATGCATGCACCAGTAGTGAGAATGACCTAATAAAAAAATTACATGGAACTGCGCATAGAGACAGTATATTACACAAGACAGATGAAGAAAATGTTGCTTTGCCTATATGTTGCTTGCAGAGTGAGGCGCTTACTGTGCAACCCCACCCAGGCCTCTAGTCACACACATTCCTTGATAGAGCTGTCAGGCCAACTGGAAGAGAGCCCAGCCTCTCCCTACAGTGACTAACTGCACAGAAATGTCCCTCTTTCTCTCTCACACTGATTCCAGCTTCATTGCTTCCCGCCCACCCCATACTCTGCTCAGTCGCTCCCACCTCTGCAAGTGGGCCCACCACACCCCCTAAAATTCTAGGTTATACACAGATAAACAAGAGCCCGACTTCCAGCTGGATATGTGATCCAAATGGCACAAAACAGCATAATTTCTATAAACTAACACAAGACACCAACTGGTTATCATTTAACTTAAATCTCTGATCATATTTTTGATAAGAATATCTTTTAGAGGCTTTCAGTTTCATTTAAACCAGTTTTCCAAACTCCTGCAGCACGTATCAGTTTAGCCGTCATAATTTTCACATAAGCAGGTCACAATGTGGTGAAAAGTGATGAAGGAAATGAAAGCTATTCAGCCTGTTTGATTGCCAAATCTAATCAATTTGGTGCACAGAGAAGGGAAGCAATGTGACACTTATTACATCTCACTGCTTAGTATACATCAAGCACAGTAATGCTGAGGAAAGATAAGATTTGATTATGAGCAAATAGAGAAAGTCCTGTGAGCAGTGAGACAAAGAGGAGACTTGGAGAAGTGAGCAAATAAGTGTTGTTGTCAAAACAGAATGGTCTCCCTGTTTCCTTTTGCCGCATTGGTGTTTGACGCAGCAAGTAAAACAAACACAAAAAGAGACTCAGCAGGCCTCAGCCTGCGGTCATTCCTCAAAGAAGCAGATAGGCTGTGCATGTATGACACATATAAAAAGGAATGACCATCAAAATAAATGGTTCCTTTCTGCTCGCAGTGCTCCCATACCCCGAAGAAAACCACAAGTCCTGTATAAGACCAAAGCCTGTCTGCTGACACCAGAATGGTTGGCTGCTTGTTAAACTATTGGAACTTTGGCAGGAGTCTGACAAATGGAAAAAACTAAGAAGTCCTTCTCTTCTTTTACAACATCACAAACAAGATCAACTAATTCATCTAATTATGTCTGTAACTCAGTCTTTGGTGCTATGTCATAACCAATGGAAAACTCAGACCTATGTATCTTACATTAGATGAGGAGGAATGATGTAACTGAGAGCTCCCTCCTCATTTGAACTTTGCTGTGTGTCCCACCTGCAGACAACAAAGCGGGGCGTAGGCGGCTTGCTTTAAATATTCTCTCATAAATGTTTCCTGATTTTTTTTTCCATATGTACATCCATTTTTCAGGAGGTTATTTCCATCCTTTTAAAGAAAAGTGTTAAAACCAATTGTGCTCATGACACAAGTATAAACATTCCTAAGTTGTATCAAAGGGGAAGAAAGTGAAATAAAATAACAGTAGATAGCAACAGCATTAAAGGTATTTAAAAGAAAATAGCTTTAAGTTTGTTTTCTAAATTATGAGAAACAAAATGCCTTTTCCTACCTATGCATACATAAAAAAAAAAACATAATGCTTTTTTATGACATACCTAGTAACATCAAAAAGGCAGAAAGGACAATGTATTTTAAAACATGATCATACTCATAAAAAAGCATACATATAAGGGTATGCATGTTTTTCAGCTTTAAGGCAGTTAATTATCAAACTGTTTAATCTTACCTCAACTGGTGTTTAAAGTAAAAATAATGTAAAGCCCTTGACGGAACAGAGGACAAGGGGATTACAAATAAAGCTAGGTGGCAACAGAATGTATATGTTTATAGATAGATACATTTCTTAGCTACTGAATTCACAGCCTAAGCAAAGTCCATGATATGTATTTGTATAAAGAGCTTTGAGTAAAGATCTGTTGAACATAAGACAGCGTTTTAGACGACAAGCTGAGCCAACCTTGACTGAAAACCTAAACAACATTGAATGCATTCCAAACGTTGCATTCCGTGCCTTGCTCACTGAAATACTGGACCCCATTCCTTCCTACTAATAGTTTCACTAACAGATGCTGCATGTTGCTCCTTGCATGAGGAAACATGACAGGTTTAAAAGCGAGGAGCCAGGTAAGATTGTACAGTTAAGCAACACTTGTATAAGATTTATTGTTCTGGATGATTCTGTGGAACAGATGTTTGGATGAGCAGCAGTGTGAGTTATAAAGTTATGAGCGCAAAAGAAAAAGGCTGCTGAAAAAGTTTCAGCCAAATAATAAAAAAAACCTACTATAAACAATTATCAACTGAATGCACATGCGTGGGGGAGACCTTTTCTGACTGGATCATATTTCAAAACACAATTTTTCAGTGATAAGACAAGCAAGAGTAACAACAAGGGCTCCTTAGGATCCAACAATCCAAACCAACGCTGGATAGGTGAAAAGGGAGTGGCTGCTGTGTGGATTGCCAAAAGAAACTTCCCAAACGCACATTCTAAACTTATCTGTAACAGAAATGGCACACATGTACCTCTAAAATAGTGTCTGCTGGAGATGTAGTACTCTAGGATCAAGTGAAAAACAAATCCACAGATTTCTCTTCTTTCCTCTTTTTCAGAGCATTTGTCTACCTTCTTTTTAATATGTCAACTCACAAAGCTTCTTCTTGCAACCGCCCAGTCAACAAACCCTCAAGGAAACAGCAAAGGAAGTGTGCTGAAGACCAGTTTCCTTAAGTTTCACTCTGGAGAGCATTAGAAATATCACTTCTCTCGTTCCTGTTGTCAATCAGCAGCACCCAAACAGAGCGTGCAGCTGTATCTGATGTAGCGACCTGACAAACGGCTTAATACAAGTCAGAGTTCTCAGCAATCATAAGACACAGCCTTCTCACTGGGCCTCTAAAGGGGCACAGTAAACCAACTTAGCATGAGAAAAACTACAAACTGTCAATAAAGACATACAAAAATGTCATCTTGTGGTATTCTTGGTATGGTTTTTTTTTTTTTTTTTTAAAGATAACACAGTGTGCTGCTGCATTTGGAGATGGTGCATGTTTGAACAAACAGTATCCGCCCTTGGCTATGATGGGGCCCTTTTAACTAACAAGCATTTCAGCACCTAACGGTTGGAACAAAATATTTCACAACCTGACAAGGCCTCACTATCCTTAATTTTAAGTCCATGGCTGCTCAGTTATTTTCAAACCAACTCAAACATCTTTTTTACTTTCTTAGCTAAAAGGAAACAACAGGAAACAACAGAACAGCTCAAAATACTTTTTAGATCACTGTGACAATTTGGCTGTTTCAGTAGTGCTTGTTTCAATCAATCAACTTGACAAGAACAATTTGAGACCTGCCAGACATTTACGGCTGCGGGGCACTAAGCGTTAGTTTGGCATACGTGGTAGAAAATGGTGAACAGGGTGGAGCAAAAAGCAGCTCAGAATTTTTGGGTGTGGCAGTGGAGGAGCTGTGGACGACGGGCAACGGTACGCGTTGAAATCTGACTGCTAAGTAAGGTATAGCAAAAAAAAAATCAGTGTTCTTTTTTATCTAGTCTTGTTTCCACAATTCAAACAGTGCTTTATCTCAAGCATGGTGAGGAGATTAAGTAGCAATGTATGTTTAAACATAGAAGAATATGAGGTTCACATAGATCATCTGAAAACGTCCAAGTTTGGATTTCTGAAAGAGTTTTCACTCATCCTCCCAAAGTGCTAAGTCGTTGCTCCCCTTTTCTATGCCTCAAACCTGGTTTCAATTAGCTTGTCTTTTCCAAACCACTACATTCCATAACTCCCCTCCTCACCCCAGAACCGCCCACCCCCTCACCAACACGGTCTCTGACTCTCTCTCCCTGTCTTCCTCCCGTCTTTTCCCCCCATACACCCTGGCATGGAGCCCAGGTTAAGTAACCCAAGTTGGGGGGAAAAAGTATATATTTTTCTCTGGTTTAGTGTTTTCAATGTATGCTTTTAAGTTAATATTTGCTATAAAAAAAGACTACACAGACATTCCATGTTTCATAAAAAACATCTATAACAAAAACCATAAAACAAAAACTTAAAAGAGAAAAGTTAACATCAGTCAACATGCCCCCTTATGTATACTCAGGATGTTGAAAGAGTTCAACTACAACTGCTATGGTGTGTATGGGCTGCTTTTTTTTGTCTGTAAAAGGGTGCGCCTCTCTACAGAGACAAGAAGGGAGAGGAAAAAAAAAAAGAAGTAGGAGAAGGGAGGTGAAGGAGAGAGATCCACACCCAAACTTGTTGCTGCAGGCTTTAAAAGGGAAGTACCTTCACTTTTCGCAACATAACAAAAGGTGGAGTAAGAAAAATGAAAATGAAAAATTAAACCATAAACGCAACCTGATTATTTTCTATCCATTTACTGGAACATAATTTCAACTGGAAAATCCTTTTTAGAGTTATTTTCTAGCAATGAGGATACAGATTTTGCATACATGTCATATGTATGTATGCAGAGATGCATTTAATTATCTAACCAGTTCAGAATTATTCATCTGATAGATTCCCTATCTTTATTTCTGAAATAACTTAAATTTTTGAAAAGGTTTATTTAAAACTTTTGTACTTGTTCTACCTCTATTAAGGTAAAATAAAGTGCGCCACTGCAGTTGGAACCGCAGTATTCATGTAGCTGCTAGTACACACCCACTTTTAATTTAAATGAGATTTCAAGTGTGCAATGGGATCCACACCTATTTTATTTTACCTTACACAAAAAAGCAGAAATACAATAAAAAAAATCAAAGCTTCACAGAACTTTCTTTAGAAAAATAACCACTTCTTTTTAAAATACCACAATATGTGAGAGTAGATTAACACATTTCATAAAGCAGGGCACTGTCAACGCAATCTTACAGCAAACACTAAACAATCAGTCGACAGTCGACTCTTGATAAAATAAAGCTATGCAGACTGATAAAACAAACACTTTTGCAACTAAGTCTTTAGAATTTATTGAACTACTTAATCTGATAGGCTGATAACTATAAAGTAACGTAAAAGTTTGCTAAACTTCACAGTACCCTAAAAAAGTAAATTAATAAAAATACATATATATATAAATTCCTTACCTGTGCGCAAACTTTGCGCCAAAGAAGCCTCACACCCACTTGAGCATCCTTGTAAACATGTCTTCTCACCTTGGCCCCCAAGTAGAGCACTTTGCACACTGCCACAAGTTTGCAGTCTGTCAGGAGTCTGTCTCTGTTTTCCTATTTCTTGACCAGCTAGACTTCCAGGGCGTTTTCTCTCCCCTCCTCCCTCTATCCCTCCCTTCTCTGAGTTGATTTAAGCCTCTACTTTGTTTTTTGTTTTTTTTCCTCCTCTGTGTGGCTTCTACTCTGAGTTAAGCCAAGTGGTTGGACTTGGTGCTGGGTAGGGCTCCTCGTTCACAGAGGGAGGGGACTGCAAGGGAGGGGACCTGTAGAGGGAGTGGCCCTCAGCACTGGGACCACCCACTGTTCCACATAAAAGGCTCTAAAAACATGCACAGAGAGGGCCTAGTTCTACTTCATGTAAGAAAGGAATATTAAACTATGCTAAGTGCACTTCAAATCAACAGCTCTAAATAGTGAACATCCATGTAAAATCACCTTAATATCAGTTAATAGCATACATAGTGACACACACACACAGTATAACACAGCACATCGTAGGTATCATATGACAGACAATTGCATAAACATGTTATTAAACCTCTGAAATCACTGTACACAAGCTAATACAATGTTATTGTTAACTAAATAATTAGTTGCGAAAAATTCCTTTTAAATTTTAGTGTGAGCTATTTAAATTACAAAACCATAGTAAAGGCCAATTTATCTTCATTGAAGCAGATCTTCTATAGCAGAAAATGGCCACTGTAATGGTAGTTCATGTTTCAAAGATTATTATAAAACTCTTTAATTGTTAGAGTAACTCTAGAGTAACACTCCCCATCTACCAGACCACTGTCATTCGAAAATGTGAAAAGTGATTAAAACCAATAGTTTACTTCAAGCTCCAATACAAAAGCAGGAAATATAAATAAGGCCAGTTTTCAGTTAAACACTTGGAAACTGCTTACAGTTGTGGAGTTTTCCATACATTGGAAAATAAAAGGAAGGTATTATGCAATATAAGAAGTGTTCATGTTCAACAACAGCTCTGCGGAAAAGAACACCTGGGGTTATCTGCACATATTTGGCCAAGCAGCTGGGTTATACTTTAATATATCTGCTAAAGTGAATCAAGTATTTATAATTAAGTAACACAACCTTTTGTTCCACGGTTCCCAGATCGCCTTCTGTTCCATTTTGTCTAATACAACTTGTGTGGTGTTATTATTTGAACTGAGGTGAGAAACGGATTACTATAGGAATTATTTTGACATGTTGGAGCTTCCAGAAATTTCTTCTAACCAAAAAAATCTCCTGACCTAAATCTCATAAAGGATCCGTGGTACACTGTCGAAGGAACTAAGAAACCAGCACAAATAATAGTGACAGGTTCAAGGTTAATGTCAAAGCAACTTACACTTCCTTGGCATGTCAGCAAAGGAGCCTACATACCAGCTCACAATGATGCAGTTATTTATGTGAAAGAAGTACAGGCAAAGCACTGGGCTGTTTTACTGTCCTTTGCTTTTTATGGACATACGTTTCTTAAAAATAATTTTAAATAATTTTAAATTCAATTTAGTTTATTTTTATAGCGCCAATTCACAACACATGTCATCTCAGGGCACTTTACAGTTTACCAGACCATACAGTCAAACTGATTCAAAGTTTTATATCTAAGGAAAACCAGTTGATTGCATCTACTCATTGACTCAAAGGCAATCCCTCACACTAAGCATGCTTGTAGTGGCAGTGGAGAGGAAAAACTTCCTTTTAGCAGGAAGAAACCTCCAGCAGAACCAGGCTCAGTGTGAGCAGCCATCTGCCGAATCCGACTGGGGTTCAAGGAGACAGAAGCAGAGACACAAAAAGCAACTGTAAAAGGCGGCCCAGTTCAGGGAACAAACAGCCAGGCACCCGAGCTCCGAGCCAGCTCCCATGTCAGAGGATGAAGAGAGCACATCCAGCCAGTCACAGTCAGAGAAACAGGACTACACTGGAAAACAGGCAGATCTCCAACATCTATAACCAAAGGTGTTGATGGCAGCAGCACAGCTGATATTTCTCTCCAGGATGGTTTCAGCCAAACAGGAACAGATGAAGCAATGCTACTCTGAGAAAAAGCAGAGAGAGCAGAACGTTAATAATATTCAATTTGATAAGACACTGAACGCTGGATTTTCTTTCAATCTTAAAAAGGAACAAAAAGCAATACTTTTTCATATATAGAAAACTAAGTGTTTTTTTTTTTACAGGATTATAATAAAAGGAATAACCTCTGTGTTCATATTGTAGTTCAATTTGTTTCATCGTAATTGTAATTTGTAGATTGACAATAATTATAAGAAACAGTTTATATTAGGCATGGCTTTTGTCCATAATACTCAATGAGATTATTGTAATTTGAGTTAGGTCTTTTCTGAAAAATTCAGTGAGACACTGTAATTGGTATGATAGAATTATTTGTTATAAAGTTTGAACATGTGGTTTTAATAACGGTAAAGGGTGATCTCTGTTATTCCAAATAATTTCTATTGGGCTTTTTTATAAAAACATTGATTAGGTAAATAAATTTTTCTGATTTTGATCTAAATAGCTTGTGCTCCTCTGGAATCTTTTCATATGTTTTCCCCGCCTGCTGGTTTATTCAAAGAGTATCTATGTATACTTCAAGCTGTCGATAAAAAAGGTCATCTTGTTCATAGATGCAGTCAATCAACTGTTGTGCCAATGGAATTTGCTTCTCCTGAATTTAACCATCTGTGAAACAACCCTTTCATTGTTTTCCTTTCTATATCCTCATGCCCGACAAGTAAACATTGTTCAAGAAGCAGGAGCAGAGGAAGTTGTTGCGCTGCTTTGTTGGGAGCAAACAGGGTGTGGTACAGATGCTTGGACATGTGCTTTCTCATATTTCAATACTACTGTATTACAGCACTAAAGATGACTTGTGGGGGTTACCCCCCCAAAAAAGAAAAAAATAACCATTAAGATCCTTCACAAAAACAGAGGCCACTGCTGGTATGTGTGGAGAAGGGTAGCTTTGACCCTATACAAAAACAAAGCCCATGTTTACAGTGGATACATGATTTCATGATAGCACAGCAAATCCAAAAGGCCCTGCAAACTCAGACTAGTGTACTCAAAGGTTAGACTAGCAAACATAAAATTAAATCAAACACAGCGCATGGAAAAGAACAATGCTGCAAGTAGCGAAAACAACTGCAAGTTAAGAAAAGCTGCAGTCACAGAAAATAGAAAGTAGCAAAGTGGAAACATGCTGCAAACACAAAACCCAGAGCAAATACATAACGCAAATATATGTGCAATGGAAAAGAGCTCCAAGTAGCTAAAATTACTGCAAGGTAAGAAAAGCTGTAGTCACAGAAAATAGAAAGTAGCAAAGTGGAAACATGCTACAAACACAAAACCCCGAGCATATACATAAATGAAGCTAACACGCAAATATATGTGCAATGGAAAAGAGCTCCAAGTAGCTAAAATTACTGCAAGGTAAGCAAAGCTGCAGGCTAGCTTTTCTTTCCACATTTGGAGAGCTCCATTCCGATAAGGAGAGACAACGTTCATCAACTCATATGGGATCACAACATTACTACGAACTACTGTCTATGGTCCAGACCCTCAGCAAAAACATAGATGGGATGACATCCAGGGGACCATTTATTTACCTGTTTTTTTCTCCAGAAGGAGAAAGAAAAGCCAAGTTCTCTATTGAAAATTTTCCTTTTACTTGTAATATTTCTTAGCCTCTAGTTTATGCCTTTAATGAGGGTCTTGTCCCATATGATATAATGATGCTCTCTCACTGGTCTGGAGCGCTTCTATTATGTGGTGCTAGTTGGAAGCTTTTCTTAACTTCCAGGCGTTCTTGCTACAGGAAGCATTATTCCTTTGCATGTGTTTTGTGTGTAAGCATCCTTAATGTCATTTAGTAGGGTTTTGTGTTTGCAGTATATTTTCAGTTTGCTGCTCTCTATTTTTTATTATCTCCTTTGCAGCATTTAATCTTTGTATGTGATTTTATAGGTGGTTTCATTTATGTGTTTGCTAGTCTAATTTTTGAATTTGCAGGACCTTTAGAACCTGCTGCGAAAGCTTGTATTTACACTGCGTTTGCACCCTTCGGCCACTGTACATATTACCTTTGAAGACCGGTTCATTTTTTTGCTTTCAGAACAACAGGGTCTGTGATGTGTCGGCATGTAAACACCAGGAGTCTCATCAAAACAGTTTTCCTCTCAACAACTTTTCTACGGGGCTTGTTTATGGCCCCATAACAACCAGACAGTAAACATGCTCTTTACCACTCGTAAATGAAGCTTTCCTTGACAACAAGATATGAGGACACATTTGATGTTATTCATTCCCTTATCTGGATTAAATCTAAAGCAGGTCAAATGAGGCAAGATGATTTGTTGAAAACAACTCTAACAGAGGACTACAGTTCAAGGCAAAGTTTTACAGAGCAAACGTGTCTATACTTTATGAACTATTTCACATTTCATCCTGTAAAATTACTTCAAGTTTGGTGTAATTTGTTTGTCTGCCAAACACACAGTATTGTGTAACTGTGTTAAGGGAGGAAGATAAGAGATTAGTGTCCCATATTTCACAAAGAAAAAAAGTGTATTTATACATTTTCACCCATTTTTATCTTGGTACACTTAAATACAATTCTGCTTTTAATCAAATTCAATTCACAAATACTTGATTGATCCCAAAGGGAAATAAAATTTTGTAGTAACTCAGAAGTTTTTTTTCTTCAGCTCAAAGGGCATCTTTCAACGAGTCGTTGCATGTTGATAGCAGGAGGCAGGAAGGATCTTCTATAGCAGTTATTGTTTGACGTCTCCTGAAGAGGATGTTCACTGTTGACCATAATTTTCTTAATTTTATGAAGAATTCTCCTTTGTGCAATAATCTCCACGGAATCTAGAGGAGATCCTAGAACATAGCTGGCATTTTTTCTAAACTTTTTAAGTTTCTTTAAGTTATTTGCTCTGATGCCGTTACCCCATAGATGATGGCAGAATAGCACACTCTCCACAGCAAACTTTTAGCAAACACACTGCATGTTGCTGCAAAAACTAAAGACTTTAGCTCCTTTAAGGAGTACAGTCTGGTCTGATCCTTCTTGTCGATGGCTTCACACTTGTATTTCCAGCTGAGTTTATTGTCCAGGTGAACACTGAGTAATTTGTACTTTGCCACCACCTCTACCACTTCTTCTACCATGATGTTACTAGCATT